TACACGCTCACTTGGGGGTAGCTGTGTATATGGAAAGGAAGAGGTGGGTTCTGCCTTGACACAGATGTCCTGAGGAGAGAACCCTTCTCTGGCAGGAAGGAAGCAAGGAGGCTGGTTTTAATCCTTCTGATCACTTACTGGTAGATTAGAAGCATCTGCCCCCAGATAATTTTTGTTTTCTAAAGTGGTATGCACTTTATGTGCAATATAGGTGAATTTTGAGCACAAAATCAAGTGTTTTTAAGCCATTTAATGCCACTGGGCTGTATATACCTAAGGTAAAGAAGATCATTTATTGTTTTTTTTTTTGTTTGTTTAACATTCTTGGTAGTACCCCACTTCCTTCCATACAGCTATTTCTTTCTGAGCGTATTCCTCGCTGTACAAAAACAGATTATGCAGATACTGTATGTGTGTCAAGGATGGAGGATGTGTTTAAAAATGTGACTCTATTAATTTGTAGTAATTTGTATCATATTTCGAGCTTTTTTTTAAACTTTGCTGTTCAAATTACTAGTTTTGGTTAGTGTTGCAGGTCTCTTGACATGCAATAGCAGGAAGCATTGTGTGACTTAATCTTATGTTCTGTTGAGTTTAGGATGAGCCAAAGGCTTCCTCTTTTGTGGAAGAGAGGGGAATAAAATCTTCATGCCCTGAGATTGTAGGGCTTATGCAGTGACTACATTGTTCCAGGGAACTATCCAGTGTGTGTAGAAGTGAGGGGATCACATGCCTGTGTTATTCTTCCTATTTTCCATGTCTCTTCCTGAAAACTCTCTCTGCACTTGCACTCCCTGAGAAGCACCCCTTTTCTGCTTTCTTGTGATGCAATTTATGCTCTTCTGACTTGTAAAGCTGTCCAGAGAAGGTATAAAGGGGCATCTATTTCTCACTGGAATATAAAGGAATGGTTGATAATTATGGCAGTAGCAGCATATTGAGCAACTCAGTGGTTGTCACTGAGCTGTGTACTCAATCATGGTTTCAGCATGCTTCCATGCTTGATGTGCCATAGATGCAAAGGTGTGAGGAATCCTGTCCTGCTCACCTTCATTCAACAATCCTTCCTGCGAGCTGCAGCAAGGCAGTAGTCACTGGACAAAGGAAGTGCATAACCTTCTAACTTGCTGCATGCCCATTCCTCTTTATGCACTTCTCTTTGGAAATGCGGGGTTATAATCATTGCCAGAGTCTGTGTTGCTTTTGTAATGTATTTTTTATTCCTTTTTGCTAGCTGGCTGGCCTTTTGCAATTCTCAATTCAGGACGTATCCCCTTCCAGAGAGGAGGTTTCTGTAGTGATGAATCCATCCAGTATCCATACAAAGAGGACACCATTTCTTATAAGTTATTAGCAGGATTAATTATTCCTTTCAGTATAATTGTTGTAAGTTTAAACTTTTCTTCATTGCATTTGATTTCATTGGGGGTGGGGAAAAGGGAGGAGGGGCAATCTGTTAATACAGACTTCTCTAACTGTATTCTAAGATTTCTCAACTTTAAAATAATGTCCTTAGACCAGGTGCTACAGCAGTAGAAATGGTGTTCTGGCAAGAATAACTAAAAGGTTTTCTTTAATTGAGATCAAACAACTAGAATTATAGAACAGAAAAAGAATACCTTAGAACTATGGTGGGATATTTTGTTTTATAGGTGGCTTAATTGTATAGTTTGAGAGAGATCAAAAACCTCTTCCCTTACTATACTGGTTAAGAATAACACTAATGTATTTTAAATGGCTGTCTCATGCTTTTCTATTTTGGGAGCTGCCAGTTTCAGAATATGAGTTTGCATGATGTATTAAGTCAGCATTTTTATCTGCCACAGAGTAATTGGAAATACTTCCGTGTGTGGAAGTGTAACAACAGGTACTGAGTTCTTCAATAGAAAAATATTATGCCTTCCAATCAGCACTTATCAAAAGCATAACTAGAATAAAAAGAATAGGTAGCCAGGGAGTTTTTCCATGGATGTTTTCCCAAAGGTCAGGATAAAACAGTGGGCCCATTTGTGTTTGAGTCAATGCTCAAACTTGTTTTCATGCTGCACCTAACCTGGCTGAAAATGGGGTGCTGTTCTCCTTCCCTCCTGCACACCAGATCAGTGAGCTTTAGAGATTGCCTCTGCGACTGCTAGTTTGGGATCTCCTTCTTTGACCACAGCTCCTAGCTCATTTGAACTGCCTCAAGCATATAGTGACTCTGTGTCCTTAAGATTTAATTACGGGCTGTTAGTTGAGCTCACCTAATAGCTTACTGTGGATGAAAGGTGAGGTCCCACTATTGTCCTGTATTTTGCCACGTCTGGTGGATTGTCTGAACCAGGATAAGCTAGTGACTAAATTCCTTAACCTGGCAGAAAACAGCATCTCTCTTTGAGCTAGGCTGAGTGAAATGGCTCCTAGAAGAACAGAATATCAGTGCTGGGACAAGAAGTGGTGAGAGCATGGGCAGAGTGGAGAGCTGGACCTCATCACTTAACCATTTTGTGTCCTAAGTTTCATGGGACTGTGCTTCAGTTACAACAATGGCCCTTCTACAGGGGCTTCAAGATACCTGTCCAGATGTGCTACAAAGCTTCTGACTCCACTCATGGCTCTGTTCGGTGGCATCCAAGCTCATCAGAGTTAAAACTCTTCTATGCTAAATAAGATTTTTTTTTTAGGTGTATAAATATTTACCCAAGTATATTTTAGGAATCAAAGCAGGAAAAGGAGCAGCTAAATGTAAACCTCAGGATTGGGCAGCTGTTCCTCTGGGCTAATGGATTAAAATCAGGAGGGACATTATTGCAATCTAACTCTTGCATGAGGACTGCATGGATTTTTATCCAGGTTCCAACACAAGTGTCAACTTGTAGCTTATGTTTGCTCTCGGGTGGAATTTTTTTTTCATAACTGTAGAAATGTGGGGCTGGGAATCAAAACTAGTTTTCCTTTTCTCGGAAAAGCTGCTTCAAAAACTTGCAGAAATGCTTCTGGAGCAGATAAAACTTTTTTGGTTTCTGTCTGTTCTAGTAACTGGCAAGTGTCTTATGCTAAAAGATCCTGCCTTTTAAGATAAGACTACTTTTTTCACCCTGTTACTACTGTTGGTAGTCAGTATTGACTAAGATCAGCAGTACTTGGTCCCGACTGAAGTCCATCTACCTTGTTGCTGCATTTCTAGCAGCAGTTAAAACAGAGGAGTGAGGAAGAACAGAAGAATAGACCAAGTGAAGATTGTTCTTTTGCCCTCAGTACTTTGCTACCAGCCATTTGCAGCTCAGGGACTTCCCAACTCAGAAAAGGCATCAGTGAATATTGTATTTTTTAATGGACGTATTTCCTTTGAATTTATCCCATCTCCGTATGAGCCTGTGTGAAGATCTGGCTAGCAAAGTTACAAGACCAGGGACCATCTTGTACTTATGAAATTGAGCTTTTCTGTCAAGATTGCTTTGAAGCCAGATGGCAAAAGCAAATGTTGGTGTCCTTTACTGACTGCTCAGTCAGATCATTAAAGATGAATACTGATGTCTGCATTCAGTGATGTAGTTGCATTGACATCAGCTAATTTTTTTGTCACCTCAACTGAGATAAGTGACCTGCTTGCAGGTTTTGCAGCAGTGTTCTTTAAAAAAAGGATTAATTATTTACTAGTCATCGTTGTGATATTTCTGCTCAACCATCTTCATTAAGAGGTGACTCTCTGGGATAGGTAAATAAGCATTTACCAACATCTATTTTACTGAAAACTTTCTCAGCTTTAGTTCATGTTCTGATGTTTCCCTGCTTCAGTCCATGTGTCAGTATGGTGCAGAGTATAAAACTTAAGGGTCACATATTTGATGGGATTGTCTCTTTGCCTTTATGCAAAGCTGCTGACAGCTACTTTGTCTGCCCAGGTGTCAGAATGTCCAATAATAGCTTCATTCACCAAAGCTCTGCTTTGCTGGGATCCCGGACGTGTTGCTCTTAAGTGACAGACAGAGCCATCATCTAATCTTTACAGGATTTTTAAAGATTACTTTACATATAAGCATACAGCCCCCCCCCCACCTGATCATCTGTATGAGTCGAGCCATTCTGTACAAAATGGGACCATCTGGTTCATATCCATCCTGTCTGAGGTGAAGGTGTACTTGGTTTAAGGAAAAATTTACTTTCTGAAAAAAATAAAATTGCGGGAAAACAAAATTAAATCTGCTTTGCTGTCAACACTTGATGCACGCTTGATGCATGTACCTTGAAAAATCCTTGGAAAGACCTCTGTAATACCTGTCTTTCTCTACTCTCAGTTTTTTTTTTGCCCTGAAGATTTAATATTCCTGAAGAACAGGAAATTTATTTGTTGAAATAACTAGCCTTTTACATCTGGAAATGAAATCTAGACCCTTTGGCTGCACAAAAAAAACAACAACTTAATGATGAAATAAAAAAAAACTTGCTCAGTAGAAGTTTAGCTGAAGAAGACTCAATGTAGAATAAAATGTAATACCGGAGAAAGTGTTTCTAATCATGGACCATGCCAAGTAATATGGATAAATGTTTCTCTGAGAAGGCTTTGTTTTAATAAATATTCTGAAAGTCAATAATAAGTTCAACAAGAAGCAGGGTAAGGTAAAAGTTTTCTGTTTTCTTCTACATAAACATGTTTAAAGTGTGGACATGGTTACTGCTGACTCTTGGAGAACTTAAATTTGCAGCTTAATGTTTATTAAAAAATAATTTCTGAAACTACATGTCTGAATATTAACAATAGAATAATAGCTTTCTTTTTAAGCAATTATGTGTAATGGTTGTCCTTATTTCTCTTTCAGATAATCCTAGGAGAGGCTCTCTCTGTCTTTTATAATACTTTGCACTCGAATTCATTTGTCAGAAATAACTACATAGCCACTATTTACAAAGCCATTGGGACCTTCCTTTTTGGAGCAGCTGCTAGCCAGTCATTGACAGACATTGCCAAGTACTCCATAGGTAGACTGCGTCCTCACTTCCTCGCTGTGTGCGAGCCCGACTGGACACGAATCAACTGCAGTCTAGGTTACATTGAGAACTTCTCATGTCAAGGAGACAAAGCAAAAATCAATGAGGGAAGGTGAGTCTGGCTAACCTTGTATACTTGGTTGTAAGACCTGTTTCTTAACTTAGGACAATGAGTTTGATATTGCTACTGCATTTTTTTTTTTTAATTCTTGTAATGAATTTTAAACTTTGTGCCCTGTCTAGACACAGGAATTTCTTTCTAATTTGTGGAAACTTGTTTTATTAATGTACAGAAGAATGCATAAATTATTGTGTATTTATTTCTGCTTTTTTACAAAATGTGGGCAATGTTCAGTTTTAATTTGCTTCCATTTAGAATATCTATGCATCCCAATGAAGAAAAGAATTTGAAATCTGCCTTGAAAATCAAAATGTCAAATAGCAAGGAAAAGAGTTCAGATTTAGAATAAAAAAAAAAAAAAAGAAACTGGATGTGTCCGTATAAAAATATGATGGAGGACTGGTGAGACAATTACTCAGTTTTCTCATTATTAGGTGTTTCATTACCTTAAATACTTACCTGCCAGTTCAATTGCAGCAAGATAACAGGGAAACAAGCATGAAGTGTCTCATACATTGGAGCTTTGTCACTGTTATAAACAACGTTGAACACTATTGAAAATATTAAAGTATGTTATGAATAATTTCTGGTATTAGTGTTGCTTGAGATCCATGGAAGCATAGCTTTAGAGAAAGTCCTTGCTGTTCTTTTTCCAGAAGACCTGTATACCCTCTTAGTTAGAACTTCGTATGCGTGAGGTCTAAATACATGTGTGTAGGTTTTGCTCTCTGTCCTCTGTGTTCATTTGCTCTTCTAACATGTGTCCCCTATGGATCTCCCAGTAGCATGTGTCATGTTTTTCAGCAGCCACAGGAAGATACTGCAGACTGATTTGGTCGGGGACCAGGTCTAGCTCCAAGTCATGGACAGCGGCTGTTCAAAGGTGCCAGGAGCAGTTTGTATTTTGAATGTCTGTTGGTAGTAGAGGAGCAAGTGCACAGTGGTAGATAGGCAGTATATCAGATAATCCTAAAATGAGCAGAACCTCATGCAGGTAGTCAATAAACAGATGGGAGTTTATTCTTTGAGATACTAAAGTAGAGGAGTGTGCTTCATGTGCAGCTTTTTTTTTTTTTTTGTATCATTAATGCCCATAATTGTGCTTAGAAAACTTTTATTTATTTATTCTAAGCTATTCTAGACACTGATCATTAGATAGACTTTCCTTGCCTGTGAGTAGCCCTGTAGGGTCAGAATATCCACTAGTAAGGTATAAGTTTTATCTCTGTTCCTGGAAATAAGAGCTATACTTCTAAAGACTTATGTTGGTCACTTTCTATATGACTGTAAGTTTGGAGAAAGGCAGAGTACACAAAGGAGGATTTTCATGAAATGTAGGAAACAAAGGATTTCTAAACAGCGTGTCTGTCAGACTTCTAAAGGTTACTGACTTTTCAAAGATCTGACTTGTAGCAGAAGGACCTTAACTGAAATAAGGGAGATGCTACCTCCCCCAAATTAACAAATTGTCTTGGTACCTTGTCAGCTTTGCAAATTTTAGCATGGTGAGTTAGCAGAACTAATTGCCAGAAATTAAGTCTTCAGAGTTTCAAAGAAGATAAAATGGTAACTTAGAACACTGGGGGGGTGGAATACAGACTGTGATATATTACATTGTGGCTGGGGTAAAATGCTTCGACTTTTTTTTTGTGTGTGTGTTTTGAACACACTAAAAGTAGTAATTTTTTTTATCCTGCTAGTATGTGAAAAGATACTTCTCCAAGTTTCAAATGGAATGAGTCTTTAAACAAAATTGCACATGCTAGGGTGCTTTGTGAAACAGAACTGTGTGTCTTTCAGCATGAAACTGTGAGGTTAGCATTCAGCTTGGGGATAGCTCTTGAGTCTTCAGTTGGACTTCTCCATGAGCCTAAAAATGCTCCTCAAATGTAAAGAGGGAAAAGGAGGAAAATTTGAGTTGATTGTAATAACTAACATGGCCCTGAAATACCATTTTCTGTTTTGGGGATGCTGAAAACCTGAGTTAGCTTATCCTCAAACAGGGAAACAGATTCTTTTGTTGTATGAGCAGAACATAGGTGAATGGCACTTAGCTTTTGTTCTGTCCTGTGCAACTAGTGCTTTGAAATCTGACTTCCATATTGGAAGTAAAATGTGTCTGTCATCTCTAAACTGAGAAGCTGCTAGGTTTGTATTCCCAGGTACTGTTTTGTTCCCTTTTTCTGTTGTCCCTGTTGCTACCCAGAAAATTAAGTAAGAGGGCTCGCCTTTTTGGTCAAAGCTTGCCTTGAAGTGATGACTTCAGTGTGAGCTTACCTGTGGTGCTTCTGCTCTCAACTGAGGCTTTTCCATGCACAGGAAGGTGTACAGAAGAAGTAAATTAGTGAGTGGTCAAAGAAGGGTAGGTTAAAGTGGGACATCATCCTGTATAGATGGATGTCATGGATGTAGTAAATAATTTTGTGCATCTTAAGGAAATTGGGCGCTATGTCTGAAACGGTGGTTTCAGTGATCTTAGGTCATGTGCCTGCATACCTCACAGTTAATAAGCCACTAAAAGGAGAGAATTAGATTGCAATGAGTTTTGCAGCAAGTTGGAGGAGGTCCGTAGGCTGTCAAACTGTAACCCAGAGGTGAATTTCTGGATCATTTGGACAAAATTTAGTGGCAGGCTTACTACCATCTACCCATATTTGGGTTAAATAAGTGTACAGGTAGATATACCAAAAAAGAATGAAGTCAGGACAATCATAATGTTGCATACAAAATTATATGTTCTGAATTCCTGTGTAGTAGTAAACTTGAGGTTGTTTTTCAATATTTTTAGAGATTAATGCTCAGTTGCACAGTCAAAAAGACTAGTCTTTGTTTACTATTTCTCAATTCATAGCAGGAAAACAGTGCTTCCAGTATAAAAATCCATTGTGTGCTTCCACTGTGCATATTGTACTCTTCTGTTTGTTCTCTCCTGTTTGTTCTCTCTTCCCTTTTCATCCCTTGTCATTGTTCCTTCTCATAATATCATGCTAATCAAAAGTATAAAATGGTTTTGGTATGCAGCATCTCAGAGTAGATCAAAGCTCTTGGTCTGAAATAGAGTAAGTAGGTATGTGTTGAAGAGGTTGGTGTAAGGTGGAGGTGTCTGAAAGATACTTCAGAAGTAGTACAGAATTAAGAAATGCACAATTGCTTCTATTTCTTCCTAATGGTAAAACTGGAAGGTGAAACATTTCAAGTATTATGATGGGTTTGGTGGCCAAGCCACACACCTGCTCACTCAATCCCACACACCCCAAGCCCCCCCAAGAATAGAGGAGAGAATTAAAGGGGTAAAGGGGAAAAAAAGGACTCATGGGTTGAGATTAGAACAATTTAATAACTAAACTGCAATAATATTGCAAATAACACTATATACAAATGAGTTATACACAGAGATACTGCCCCCCCCCCGCCCCTGATGACCAAGGCTCAGGCTGTTCCTGGCTAATGATTCCGGAGCAGGGAGAGTCCCGAAACAGCACTCTCGGAACAGAGATAACAGTCTGAGTGTCCCAGACCGAGAGCTGACCGGGGTGGGGGGCAGGAAAGGCCTTGGGAGAGCGACTGCCTGAGAGGCGAGATGACCCGGAGCAAAAGAGACCCGGAACCAAAAAGGGCCAATCTTCCGGAAGGTCCTCACCTATATACTGGGCAGGATGTGTATGTTATGGAATAGATTATTGGCCACTTTGGGTCTCAATCTCAAACCTAAGAGCAAATCCTGGGCTAGTAACTGGGGCTGTGCTCCCTCCCAGCTTCTCCTGTTTGCAGACAGCTAGAGAAGCTGAAGGACCTTGGCAGACGCATAAACATCACTTTTTATCAGCTTTCTTCTGAGCACAAATCCAAAACACAGCCTCTTGCTAGCTATTACGAAGAAAGTTAACTCTGTCTCAGCTTAACCCAGGACAAGTATTTTCTTATTTTTATTTTTCCACACATAAAGATTAAGAAGATGAAGTAAGCTGTGGAACTCTTTGTAGTGCTGGGGTGTGTAATTTTATAGCAGGGTTCAAAAAACTATTTGGACAAACTTCTAGAAGAAGAAAACCAAGCAAACAACCGATGTTTCTGGAAGCCTATAAGTTGTGGTTGGAGGCTGAGAGAGTTTTGGGCAAGCAGCATTGTGTATTTTGTTCAGCTACTGAGTTCTGCAGATCTGGTGTTTGCAACTCTTCGCACATGTCTACTATGTTATAACATGGGGGAAAGATAATTAGTCTTTATTGTTCATCAGTAACAGCAGGATTAAAATACATGCTAAAATACGTATATACTTTATCATTAATATAAACCAATGAATTTATGGTTGTCTAAATTAACAAAGTAGCTGTGGGTTTTGGTTAGTTTCATTAAGTTTTACTTTCTAACCTGAGCTTCATAAGCTCATTCTTGCTGACTTAAGTATCTTGTTTGCCCTGTGTCGTGCTGAACACAGAGTCCTCTTCAGTTTTAAATAGCTTAGGTTCTCCCTGACAACTTTTATAGTGTGTTTGCACTTTCTGTACTACGTACGGGTGGTTAAATGAAGCTGAGGATCACAGTCACAGTTGTGTGCTTAGTAAATCTCTTTTTCATATTTGTTGAAAGATACACGTAAGAGTTGGCATATATTGCTTGAAAGTATGTAGTACTTGCAGATCTCTAAAATATGCTTGGAAATCACTAGTTATTAAAAATTGCTAGTTAAATTAAGTATTCGCATTAGAAACTGTACTTCTGTGTCAAAGACAACCCTTTCTTGAGACAGTCTTTGGCATTTAAGATAGACACATAAGCTTGGTATGAGCTCTACATCACAGAAGTTTTCTGAGGGTGAATAACTTATACAGAACTGCATTCTCAAGCTTTTATGAAGGTCTTGCTAGGTTTGAGGCAAACTAGTTGTGTGTAGAGCTTTGCAGTATTTAATTTAAATAAATACTAAGCGTAGTAACTCAGTAAAAGTGCTTGACCTGTGAACGTCATTTTTCTTTTGATTATCAAAATAG